TTCATTAGAGGCAGGAAAGTTAGGAAGATAATAAAATAAGGCTGTAAAACCAATAGTAAAATGAATGTCTAAGTTACGAAATAAAATAAAATGTTTAAAACATTTTTTGAAAATTTGATATTAAATGGAAGTTAAAACATTTTTCAGAAGTAAGGTGGATGTGTTTTAATTGACAATGATAGCATTCCTGTACCCCCTTTTTTCTCCTAGAATTGTGATTCAAGCTAGTTAATCACATGTGATCTCTAAAGAAAAAAAGAAAAAAAAAACCCATCTGGGAACCTTGAGATTTCCCCAAAATGTTCATTGGCAAAGCTGTTCTCCCCACTCCATCCCACCTCCCTTATGCATATCTATAGCTGCTTGACCATTATCACTTCAGAATGAGCTGGTCAGCACAAACCTATCCTCTCAGTCCAGAATTCCAGTGGGCAGGTACGAAGGGCCACAGTGCAGTACAGTGGACATGACCTGTGTAGCTAAGCCCAGTGACTACTATGAATGCTATCCAAAACCTGTGCCAGGTGCATCATTTCTCAGAGGTATCCAGAAGAACTTTCTCCTCAATTTGGCTCCTCAAAATGGGACATATCTCTCCAGTACCCCAATTAATACAATTATCACATGAGACTAGGAAGGAGCTGTGTGTTAAGGAAAGCCTGGTTTCCTGACTCATGGCCCAAGAACCCACTCTCTGAGCATGACTCTCTTACCTTCAGGACAGGCCAGCAATGCCCTAGGACGGGTGGGGCTGAGCAGGATGTGGGATTTGGAAGAAGTAACTTTCTTTTCCCTCAGGGTTAAAATCTCTGCAGGTCAATTATGCTGTGCTTGTTAGACTTCTGTTACTTCTTCTCTATAGCTGGTGATTCCCTCATCTTAAACCCTCACCTGCTTTTAAGAGAAGTTAGTTTTTCCTGACCCAGAAACAAAGCCCCCGTTTCCCTGGAGACATTCCCCTAGGTCTTTGTTGAACTGTCACTTGCCCATGACTTTCTGTCCATGTTCTCATGATTGGCATTATTTGACCCCAAAACCCCAATTATTCATAGATCTCGTATGAGACTGTCGAACAGTACTTTCTCTACCATGATTCTGAAGTCGTACATGAGTTTTCTCCAATTTTGGCTCACTGTTAGGAGGTTCCTTTTAACTGGGCGTTGTCAAATTATTTAACTACTTTTGTATTTAAGTGTCAGTCCTCATATTCAGCAAATACAGAAATTTACTACCTACTTTAAGCATCTCAAATTATATATCCATTCTGTGATATATTCAAGTTGTTTCTAGTTTATAGCTATTACAAACAATGCTTGCTATGAACTCTCTCTCTCTCTCTCTCTCTCTCAACTTTTGTCCCATATATGTATCCATTTTTGTTTCCCAGTAAAGCACTGACCCATCACAGATTATGTAAATGTCTAGTTTTAGCTAATATTGCCAGTTTTTAAAAAAAGTACCAATTATAGTTGCACCAACTACATATAAAGATTTATTTGCTCTAAGTTTCCTCTAACATTGGATTGTAAATCCTTTTGATTTTAGCAATTCTTATGGGTGTATATATAATAGTTTCCCATTGTTATTATATTTTATATTTCTCTGATGATTAATGAAGTTGTGCATATTTTAAAATATTTATTGCTCATTTGGATATTCAATTTTCTGAGGTATTCAATCTTTTGCCCATTCTTCTATTTAGTTATCTCTCTTTTTCTAATTTTTGTTATTTTAATATTTTGAGTATAGATAATTTGTCATTTATATGTATCATACCAAAAAAAGTGGCTTAACTTTTCATTCTCTTAATGATGTCTCTAATGAAGAGATGTTTTTAATTTTAATGTAATTCTATTTATCAATTGTTTCCAATATATGTATTGCTCCTTTGTGTCTTGAAAAATCTTTGCCTACCCTAAATCATAAGTTATTATTCATGTTATCTTCCAGGAGCTTTAATATTTTCTTTTTCACATTTAGATCAACAATATATCTGGAATGTATTGTTGTGCATAACATGAGAAAGGAACCCACATTCACTTTTTTTCTATGTGACTATCCAACTTTCTTGAGAGACCATGCTTTCCTCACTCTTCTTCTGCATTGCCATAAATCAAATTTCAATTTATAATTGAAGGTTTGAAATTCTTATTTCTGACCCACTGGTCTATTTATCTATTGTTTATAAAATACTGTATTGTCTTAATTGCTATAACAAACCTTGTTTTATAGTGTAAATCATCCAACTTTTTTCTACATTCTCAAATAGTTTTGGTTATTCCTGGCCATTTGAATTTGTAATTTGATTCTAAAATTAGCTCACACATTTCCAGGAAAAAAATAAACTTGCTATTTTAATTGGGATTTTTATCTAAGAAATCAGTTTTCAGAAAAGTCATATTTCTGTGCTTTTGAGTATCTCAATCCTTTAAAATATATATTCTCCAATTTATTTGATATCTGTTCATTTTTTTTCTATGTGCAAATATTGTATCTCATTAGATTTGTTCCTAGGCATGGTGTTTTGCACATGCTGTTTTAAATAATATCTCTTAAACTACATAAAATGTAATTTGGCTTTTATATATTAAACTAGAGGCCTGGTGCACGAATTCATGCATTCTTGGGGTCTGGCTGGCCTGCACCAATCGGGGCCAATTGGGCAGGCCGGCCGAATGGGAAGGGACGCAGGCGGTTGGCTGGCCACCCCTGCCCCCTGGTCAAACTCCCACTCGAACTCCCAGTCAAGGGGACAATTTGCATATTAGCTTTTTATTATATAGGATATGTATACATGAAATTACTTTTATGGATACTGTGTCATTTCTTCCTTATATTTTTGGTAAAATTCACTGATAAAGCCACCTGGATTGAAGTTCTATTTGGTAGAAAACTCTTAAATATGGATTCAAATTTCTTAGTATATAGGACTATTCTATTTCTTCCTGTGTTCATTTTGGTAAGTTTATTTTTTTCTAGAAATTTGTCTGTTTCATCTAACTTCTCAAATTTATGAGCCTAAATATCTTCCTAGGTATTTTAGTGTATAAAAAATCTCTTTTTCTTCCATAATATTGTTTATTTCTTACATTTCTTTCTTATTTTTTTATTAGTCTTGGCAATAGACTATAGTTTATTATAAAATGCTTTTTAATATCATTTGATGCAAGGAGAACAATGTCATTAAACAAAGAAATTAATAGAACCAGATATACTTGGGTATAGAAACTATCTCACAGGGGTTTAATATACTCTCATAAGTAAGTTAAAGATTTAGTGGAAAAGATTTATGGTTTCTAACTGAGCAACTTCAATGGAGAATTCAACAGCATATGGAGAGATTATATGGACATGTTCAATATAAGGAGCACAGTAATAGAAATAAAAATCATTTATGAGTACACTCAACAGATCCAGAAATCAATCAGTAAGTATAAAATAAGTCAATAAAAGTTAGCAAAACTAAAGCACACAGAGGAAAAAAACTAATGATAAAAAGAGAAAAAAGCCTCCCAGAGCTGTCAGACAATATTAAACCATTTAACATAAATGAAATTAAAAAAAAAAACACAGAAAGAAAATGGAGACAAAAGAAGTTCAAGAAATATTTGAAGAGATAACAGCTGAAAATATAAATAAATTAAAGCACAAATCAAATAAATTCAGCCAAATAAGATAACATGTTCTCAAATGGAATAAATGTATACCAACTGACTGAAAGAAGAGACCACTGGAAGATAGGGTTTTGAGACTTCTTCAAGGGAGGGCAAAGATGAACTACTGTCACATTCTTTCTCATTTTTCTTCTTCCTAATCCCATGTTCAGATATTTCTTCCCCCTCTTTTACCTTATCTAACTCAGGCTTTTTCTCAAAAGTGTAGTCCATTCTTAGATTAATCAGTGCTGTGTGCAGAGAAGGGATGGAAGAAGGTTCAATATGGAGATTAGAGGGTGATATGAGCACAGACAATTGAACTATCCTTTTTCCCAAAACCATGTTAAAGTTGTCTTACCTTTCATTGCCTTTGGCTAAGGAATCTTTTCCTTTCTTAAATAACTATGTACTTTATAGTTTATACATTATTTCATATTTTATGTGCTTATTCTTTCCTAAAATATCAGAACAAGAGGTACTAAACTTTTCAGCCAATAAACAGCTTTAAGATTTAAATAATGCCACTTATAATGCAGTAAAATTCCTCTCAAAGTGTTTATATACTCAAGCCTAAAATGTAACTTTCCCTGGCCCGCAATAGCCCCTTTATTTAGATTCCTTAATATCCCTTAATACCTTCAGTTGATGCTTCTCCACTGAGTTACCTCCAACACTCAAATACATTATATTCACATGAAGTAGATATAGCACAAAAGCATCTAATCAGCCTTGATAGCAACACTCTTCTCTGAACAGTGACTCACACAATTACTTGATGTAGTTACATATACCACATTTTTAAAAATAAAATGTGAAATTGATGTGTTCCCAATGAAAATATAATAACCTCCTACAAAATGTGGATGAATAAGAAACTGAGATCCATGAATAGGTCCATGACTATAAACAATGTAACAAATCAAAACAGTCGAGGGTAATTTTTTAAAATATATTTTATTAATATTTTTTACAGAGAGGAAGAGAGAGGGATAGAGAGTTAGAAACATCGATGAGAGAGAATCATCGATCAGCTGCCTCTTGCACACCCTCTACTGGGGATGTGCCCACAACCCAGGTACATGCCCTTGACTAGACTTGAACCTGGGACCCTTCAGTCCGCAGGCCGATGCTCTATCCACTGAGCCAAACCGGTTTTGGCGAGGGTAATTTTTTTTATTTCAATTACTCTCAAATTATAGGAAAGGAGATTTTTAAGGTCTATTATATCTGTCCTTAACTCCCTGAACATGCTGCTGACATTAAAAGACTTTTACATTAAACCTAAACACTCAGTATCCTATCTCATATCAGCAGTATACGTTATGTCATCCCCTTCATGGTTGCCAGGGCAATGTAGTTGATGCCTGTCATATCTGAGTTAAGTGGAAGAACACACAGACAAAGTTTCTTTTTCTAAGTGATGCTCCTGATTCATCAGATTCCAAGTTTTGGCGTTAATCCATTTAATTGCCCTAAAAGTTTCTGCCAGGCCCCCTTCACCTCCTTATTCCTTAGACTGTAAATCATGGGGTTCAGCATGGGTGTCAAAACGGCATAGAAGAGAGAGATCAACTTCTCCTGAAGGGCAGAGGGGCCAGAATGGGGCTGGATGTAAGTGAAAATGGCCATGCCATAGCATAGTACAACCACTGTGAGGTGAGAGGCACAGGTGTGGAAGGCTTTCTTTCTTCCCTCTGTGGACCTGATTTTTAGGATGGTGGAGATAATCTTGACATAGGACAAGAGAACCAGGCAGAATGGTGACATCAGCAGGACAATGCTAGAAACCATGATTGCAATCTCATTGGAGGAGGTGTCCACACAGGCCAGTCTGACCACAGCTAGGAGTTCACAGGATATGTGATCAATAAACTTGTTGGCGCACATGGGCAGCTGAAATGTGATGGCAGTCTGCATGAGAGAGTTGACAGAGCCACTGACCCAGGATGTGATGGCCAACCTAATACAGAGCCCTTCATGCATGATGACCAGGTATCGCAGGGGATCACACACAGCCACATAGCGGTCATAGGCCATCACTGCCAGTAAAACAAACTCAATCCCGCCCAATCCCAGGGAGAAAAATAACTGGGCTGCACAGCTCACAAGTGGGATTACTTTATGTTCTGCAAGAAAATGAACCAACATCTGAGGGACTATGGCTGTGGCATAAGAGACATCAACAAGGGAGAGGTTGGTGAGAAAGAAATACATGGGTGTATGGAGTCGGCTGTCCAGGCTGATCAGAAGAACAATGAGTAAGTTCCCCAGCACTGTCACCATGTATGTGATGGAGAACAGGACAAAAAGAGAGACCTGAGTGTCCCAGTGACTAGACAGGCCCAGAAGAATAAACTCTTTCACCCACGTCTGGTTTTCTGTTCCCATTAAAAAGTGTGAGGATTATTAATCTGCAGAAAGAGACAGAAAAAAAAACAAGCTTTTGAATCAAAGAACCATAAGAATAACTTTTTAGCAACACAAACTTTATACAAGTGGCAAGCCTTAGCCAGATGCTTCAAATTCTTAATTGGCCATCACTACAGGCTTTGTCCTGATATTCTTTGTATCTTTTCCACATCAGAGACAGGCCAATGCCTTCATAAGGACATGATGTGGCTGCAGGGAGACCCAGCTAAAGCCTAGAGATAATGCAGTGCAACATTTATAGCTCTATATCTTCACCAACTTACCTCAGTTTTAAGGTAAGGAGAGGTTGGTAGATGACAATGGTATGTAAAATGATAAACAAGGAAGAAAACCCCAGGTAGAAAGTTATAAAAGCTACCTTAAATGTGTAAACTAGACCCACTGTGATGAGATAGGTAAAGATGTTACAAAAGGAAATATTGGAAAGAGGCTGGGACTAGGAAAAGATTTGAAGTCAGAAAGCCGAGGTTTGAAATATTATTTAACAGTGATGCGATTCTGGTTTAGGGACAAACTTTTACGTATAACATAGGACATTTTATAACTTACAAGTATATTTAAGCTCAAATGTAGTAATGTTAGAGAAAGTACTTTGTGAGCTGTATTGGTGGTAGTACCATTAGTAGTATCATGACTTCTGCCTTGGGGTACATAGGTAGCAAAAGTGATTTTCCCATGCATTCCCTCCAGAAATTCAGACCTAAATAATATTGTACACAATCCTAAAAAAACTGAGAACTTAGAAATGGTTGGGGTCACTTTGAGGACCTAGTAGCCATTGTCTTTTTTATGATGACCTTTGTTCTGTTCAGACTCAGTAGCATATGGTGTGGCAGGAGATTGTAATTGTATTTTGTTCTTTTTATTTGTCTCTTCCCAACTTGTTGCTGTTAGGAATCTATCTACTTCTTGAAATGGGCTCAAAACAGAGAAAATGAGAGTATGAGTAGCTGACTTACTATTTACAAGAGAGGAAGGGAAGCACACCTTTAAGGCCTTGTCTTCATTGTCCGCACCAGAGAAGGAGGCATGAATTCATGGAGATGTACACTGGAACAGAGTTGCACTTGTGGTTTATTTTATCCTGTAAACATTTTTCCAATAGAAATATATATATATATATATATATATATATATATATATATATATATATATATAAATTTTGAACATTAAACAGAAACTGTTTACATTTTTTAATTTTATAGGACTGATTTACGTTTATTTTTCTCTATGCCTATCTATTGCTAACTTTCCTCTTCTTGCAGTGTACAAAATAATGAAGAAAGGGAGATAATGTTGGCAAGAGGAACGGAGGCCAGAAACAGAGCTATTTATTCCATTTCAAAATCCAAAGACCAGGCTGAGGTCTCTGAGGACAAAAGAAAGGACAAAAAAAAAAAAAATAGTTCAAGAAATGCCCATCTCTTCTTTCATGGGTCAGACACACACATTTTTCGAAACCTGTTTACAAATTTCCTCCCCCAAGTCTGATCTCCCCTCCTGTTCTGCTCTATCAAGACCCTAACCACCACCCCTTACATAGTTTTTCTTCAATCATGGGAAAGATGAAATGACATCTACTTTACTCAAAGAAGAGATTTGAATTAAATTCTAGAACATTAAGAAAATATTTAATTTTAAAAATATTTTAGCTGTTGTTGCATATATAGCATATCTGCAGCAGAAAGCATTTTTATTTTTCAAAATTTAAAAATGTTATAGATCTATTTTTCAATTACAACTTATTTTTAATATTACTGTTTACTTTCCTATTAACTTTGCAAATATCTATAAAGGACCATCTTTGCTAGATGCTACTGATTTATGGTGAATATTATACCCCCCTGTGCTTGAAGACCTGACCCATTCAAAGAAGAAATGACATGAAACAGATAGTCATTACTACATCATTTGCTACACATGCAAGTTGCCTGGAGAATATGCCAGCCCATGACTCACTGTGTTCCTCTTACACGCCCTGCACATCTCTCCACTACAGCCTTTGTCTCAATCCAGGGAGTGACAGTGTCGCATCTTAATGCAATTGTGAACTTCAGAGCCTAACAATTTCTGTTTTGCATCCAATCTCTTCTGCTTTCTTGGACTTAAAGCAAGTCATTTCAGAAATAATACTTATTTCTTTAAATCTAGTTAAATATATTTCTAATGATAAATTTTCAGTTGGTGACTTTTGGCAAAATTTTAAAATATCTGGTATTTTGGAGTCCTGGAAATGGGACATGTCCCAACTAGTCTATCACCATTTCCTGAAACTGACTAGTTAATCTTCCACACAGGAATCCCTCCCATGCCTAGATCCCCACATCTCTGCCGTATGCCCGAGAGGAAAGGGTACTAATAACCCCAAGAAACAATAGGCTTCTTAACACCTTCCCATGCTCCTGCTCTATCACTATAAGGCCTTGAAGAACTATGAGCAACTGTTCATCAAGAAAGATGAGAGGCTTTTTTAAGATGGTGGTATAGGTAAACACCTATATTTGCCACTTCCCACAACCACATCAAAATTACAACTAAAATACAGGACAACCATCATCCAGACTACTGGAAAGCAGACTGAATGGAAGTCCTGCAATTATAAGGAATTGTATGAGGGAACTGCCCCAGTCACAGGGCTGACTGGCAGCCATTTCTGTTTGCTCCACACTGGTGATTCCCTAAGACCCCATCTCATTCAATTTACAACCCCTCCCAAGCTGTGTGCGGTGGCTTTTGCATATGAATGGCCTCTCCTTGATCAGGGTAAATCTCTCAAACAAATTGCAGCTGGGTCAGAGAGCCCCAGCCCTATCAATAAAAGGCCCAAGACCTGGCACCAGCACCAACCAACCTGCCTTGTTTCACAGCTGGGCCTCATCTGGGCACTTTCAAACCTGATACAAAGAGAAAGAATCTGCAGATCTCTTTATAGTTGATGCTGGGTGGCCCCAGGCAGTGGATGACTTTGCACCTCTCTGGAGACCCAAGAGCCAGTGTACCCAGTGGTCAGTGTCAGACCATACCAGATTACAACTCTGCACATCCATAAGTGACACACTCAAGGGGCAGACTCAGTGATTACCAAAGCCCCACTGAAGCAAGTACTGCTCCACAGGGGTGTCTCCTGCACAGCAGCTTTCCACTGTAGTCACAACTGGTCTTCACAGCCAATTGCTTGGAGATCAATTCCTCCAAGTGACACCAATAGCAATCAAGTCTCAACTACAACAAAACTGTGCTCACAACCCACAAAGGGGTGCACCTAGAGTGTCCAACTCAGGTGACTGGGGAGGCTGAGCCACTGGGCCCTATAGGACACCTACCACACAAGGCCACTCTGCTAACTCAAGGAGACATAGCAGCTCTACTCAATACATAGAAACAAACACAGGGAAACAGCCAAAATGTGGAGACAAAGAAACATGTCACAAATTAAAGAAATGGAAGCAAGCAAACTACTGGATATAGAGTTCAAAGCCATGATTATAGCATTACTCAAGAATCTTTTAGAAACCTTCAAAAAAAAGGGAAAAGGATCAGTAAGAAATTAAGCATACACTGACTGAAATTAAGAATAATATACAGGGATTCTACAATAGAGTAAAGATTCTGAAAATCAAATCAACGATTTGAAATATGAGGAAACAAAAAACACTCAACCAGAGAGCAAAAGAAAAAAGAATTAAAAAATATGAAGGTAATCTAAGGAGCCACTGAGACAACATACCAATATTCACATTACAGGAGTTCCAGAAGAAAGAGCAAGATATTGAAAACCTATTTGAAGAAATAATGACAGAAAACTTCCCTTACTGGAGAAAGAAATAGACTTATAAGTCCAGGAAGCACAGTGTCCCAAACAAGAGGAGCCCAAAGAAAACCACACCAAGACACATCATAATTAAAATGCCAAGGCCTAAAGTCAAAGAGAGAATCTTAAAAGCAATGAGAGAAAAGCAGTTAGTTCCTATATGGGAATGCCCAAATAACTGTCAGCTGATTTCTCAATAGAAACTATGAAGGCCAGAGGGAGTGGCAAAAAATGTTCAAAGTGATGAATAGCAATGACTGATAACCAAGATTACTCTACCCAGCAAAGCTATCATTTAGAATTGAAGGTCAGATAAAGAGCTTCACATATAAGAAAAAGCTAAAGGAGTTCACCACCAAATCAGTATTATAATGAAATGTTGAAGTGTATTCTTAAAGAAGAGGAAGAAGAAAAAAAAGATAAAAAATATGAACATCAAAATGGCAATAATATATATCTATCAACAATTGAATCTAAAAATCAAAATAAATGAATAAGAAATATAATTAACAGAATAAACTGGTGAATAAGATTGAATCAGGGGCATGGAAATGGAACAGACTGATGATTCTTAGAAGGAAAGGGGTGGGGTGGGAAGAGATTAAAAAAAGATTTTATATGCATATATGCATTACCTATTGACATCCAATGTTTCCCAAAGAGTGGTACGCGTACCCCCAGGGGTACGGGAAGAGTTTGGTGGGGGTACGTGTTGCACGGGAGTTTGGTGGGGATATGCACTGAACTGTGCTTAGCTGCGCCTAATTCTACGTTCTCATGAGTACGAGGGGTACTCAGCATTACGAAAATTATAGAAGGGGTAAAGTTTGGGAAACACTGAAAAGGCCTGGACAGGGTGGGAACCGGGTGGAAGAGGGCAATGCGGGGGAGGGGGGTATTTATAATAATCTCAAAAATAAAGATTGAAATAATCATAATTTTTTTAAAAGATGAGAAACCTGACTCATATATAAAAATCAAATGAACACTGACAGAATTTTTCATATGTTGGTGCCATATTGCTACAGACCAATACTCCAAAATACTCATTTAAACTTTGCAAGGATGGAAGTATTTAAAACTTAACACATGGGTACATTCTCCACTTGCAACATTCATTGCCACATTTAATTTTTCTACCCGTGTTGGTGTATTATATTTTAAAACTAAAGTATTGTCATTTCTATTGATTGGTTGCTTTAATAAAA